TAAGTACAGCAACAAAGTATTTGTACTTAGTTACATCCCACCACTGGCTGTAATTAGTGTGTGTGTGTGGGGGGGGGGAGGGGGGTTGGGCTGAATCCCTGAGAGTAGTAACAACATTATCAGACATTTTCTTGAGTTTTTCCGTGACTGATGTGTAATTACAGGAGTTAATAGTGTAACAATTAGCCCCCATAATTGAACTACGATAAACATTAATGAAGACGCGATCATTCAGAACCCAAAAACAGTGAATATTACAGTAATAACAGTAAAAATGTATTTGTATGTTACTTTTTCTTTCCCCCCCTTGTCCTGTCCGGCATCGTGACACTCAGAATTATTGTCCGAGTGTGAAAGTGATGTCCAACAGATTTACTTACACAAGCAGAGCATTATGTCTGGCCTTAATGCTCTGCTTGATATATAAATTAAATTTTATTAGAATTTGCTTTGGGTTTGTTTCAGATGTAATGGACATGGGGATGAAAAACAAAGAAGAAAACAAAGCAGAAAAGTGAGAGAAGGGTTAAAATGTAAAGAAGGAGATAGGAATAGAGAAGAGAGAGAGGTATAAGGAGAACACAAATCAACATCATTGAGGTCTGCCTCTAGACCTGCGGAAAGAAAAAAGAAAAAAACGACAGAACCAAGAAACCACAACAACAAACAACTTATATAATGATACTTATAACATCATTAGAAAGTATTTTATACAGTACATGGTAATACAATATATATTTGATGGCCACCACAACCCAACTGAGTGTGTATCTGATAAACACCTGAATCTAAACACCTGTGTGAGCATGCTGGTCACTATAAGGTTTCTCCATAAAAATGTTCAATAGTGGATGTGGGGACCTACAGACCCATCCCCATAGGACACGATGGTAACACAGGTGTCTTTATGCAGCTAACGACCTCAAACAGGTGCTTCTAATTTAGAATAATAAGTGGAGTGGAGGTGAACTTTTTAGAGGCGGATTAACAGGTCTTTGAGGGCCAGAATTGTTGCTGATCGGCAGGTGTTCAAATACTTATTTGCAGCAGTAACACACAAATACATTATAAAAAAATCATACAATGTGAATTCTAGATTTTTTTTTTTTTTTTAGATTATGTCTCTCAAGTGGACATGCACCTAAGATGAAAATTTCAGACCCCTCCATGATTTCTAAGT